TAATTTTACAAAAATTACGAGGCCATAAAAAAGAGTCTAGCAAAGCACTCCAGCAAAAGCATGTGGGGAATGCGGAAGTACTTCATCAGTGTCGCAGATGGACGATGAAAGCGACAGCTCCCCTGGCGGCCAGAAAAAGTTAAATAGCCTCCGACTGTCTATATCTGTTGTGTGTCTTGGCATTGAATGTTTGCCATATATGTGTACATTGTAATCTGCCCTGAGTCCCCTGCAGGGTGAGAAGAGCGGAATAGAAATACTGTAACTAAATAAATAAATAATCAAGGTGATTAATTGAAACATTCACACCTGCCTCCAACAGACAAAGAGTTATTTCTCCCACCCTGGACATTCCTCAGATTTATAAACTCCCTTTTTCCTAGTTTCCAACAGACCTCACAACCTCTGAGGATGCCTGTCATAGATGCAGGAGAAACATCAGGAGAGAATGCTTCTGGAACATGGCCATACAGCCCGGAAAACTCACAGCAAGCCAGTGATTCCGGCCATAAAAGCCTTCGACAACACATCTTCATTTTTTTTTGTTGTGTCAGGAGTGACTCCTGGTGTGAGAGAATTGGCCGTCTGCAAGGGGACGCCTGGATGATTTGATGTTTTTATCATCCTTGTGGGAGGCTTCTCTCATGTCCCCGCATGGGGAGCTGGAGCTGATAGAGGGAGCTCATCCGCCTCTCCCCGGATTTGAACCTGCGACCTGTCGGTCTTCAGTCCTGCCAGCACAGGGCTTTAACCCACTGTGCCACCGGGGGCTCCATTGGATGGAACACATCTTCATAACACAATTTATATTCTCAATAGAGTTCAGTGGTTCTCAACCTGTGGGTCTTCAGGTATTTTGGCTTACAACTCCCAGAAATCCCAGCCAATTTACCAGCTGTTAGGATTTCTGGATGCTGAAACCAAACCTATCTAAACCAAACACAAAAAAACTAACACCCACCCACTGCCATTTAAGCTCCATCTTGTCTCCTGCATATGTCATCAGTTGGGGACCCCTCCCCCCAGCACCAACTGCTGCTCTGGGCCAGAGTGAAGAGAGGAGGGCAGAAGACAGTTCCACCTTGTCTCCTGTGCTATGTTAATAATATAATATAATGTAATATATTGTATATACATACAATATCCATAATATTATAATGTAATGCAATATAATAATAATAATATATTATAATTATATATTTATATTACATGTAATATTACTAATAATATTACAATATAGTAATATTTAATACTGATATTGTACTATGATAACAATATAGTATATTGTATGTATATATATCTTGTAAGCCGCTCTGAGTCCCCTTCGGGGTGAGAAGGGCGGCATATAAATGTTGTAAATAAATAAATAAATAAATAAATATTATTATTATTATTTATTTGACTAGTCATATGACCATTTCCAAATACAACACGAATATAATACAAGGCAAAAAAGGAGAGGACAGCAGCTGACCTTCTATTTACATTATTATTACAATACATTATTACATTACAATATTAATAATTATTATTATAACTCTATAAGGAAATATGGGGAAAAGGTTTTGCTAAAACAAATGTCAAATCAAAATAAATCTGCCTTTTTACACACACACACACAGCTCTGGCAACAGGCAGTTTGAATAGCCCCAAATGTGTTTCCATCAAGGGCACAAAACAACAGAGGAGATTTAAAGTGATTGTTGCATAAATATATTTGGAAGCTAAGTCCCAATGAACATATTTGGCATCATTTGAGTACAGGTCCGGCGTTGGGGTGCATCTTCCAACTATAGCATCAATGCAGTTTGACAGTCAACACATGAACTGTAATGCTCAATGCTTTATATTCCTGGGAGCTGTAGTTTTGCAGGGTCTAAAGAGTGCAAAGAGTGTTGGTGCCTCATGAAATACAACTACTTATACAACTATTTATACCCTGCTTTTTCTCTCCACAGCACTGAGGAATGTCCAACTGGTGTCGAACTGTAGATCAAGCCTGGGCAAACTTGGGCCTTGAAGTCCCACCATTCCTAACCGCCTTAAGCGGCTGAGGGGGAAGAGGAAGGGGCCTGAGGCTGTTAGGAATGGTGGGACTTCAAGTCCCAAACTCCTACAAGGCCCAAGTTTGTCCAGGCCTGGCGTAGATGCGCCCTAAAGTCCCCTGAGAGGCCCCAGTCCACTCCCGCCAGGCCCAGCAGCTGGGCAGCTTCCCGCCCCTTCTGCGACGGCCTCCGCCTCAGTGGGCCTATTTGCTTTACCTCAGCGCCGCGAGGGCCCTGGCTGGCCTTGAGCCACCGCACCACAGCCGAGGACGCCACCTCGTCCCGCAGAAGCAGCTCCAAAACAGCCGCCATGCCATCCGCACGCGCCTTCCTTCCTCCTTCCTTTCCTCTCCTCTGTGGGAAATGCTCCGAAGGCCGCCAAGCGCTGAGGGGGGGACAGAGGAATTTTCCCGCCTGACACGTGGGAGAAAAGAGAGACAGAGAGACTGAGGGGGAAAAGAACCGCGCAATACTGTAAGCGAGAAAGCGCGCGCGACGGAGGGAGAGAGAGGGGGGAAGAGAATCGCTGAAGCCCCGCCCCCAAATAAGGCGTGGTCAGAACCCTGAGGGGGAGGGTTCACCCAGCGAGAGGCCTCGCACAGCGCGAGGGGGCGGGGGCGGGTTTGGGAGGCGGGAGTTTTACTTCAATGTCTTTTTTTCTTTTTCTACTTCCTTCAAAGTGATGACTAGGGGCGTGGTCAGAACGCCAGGGGCGCGGCTTAGGACACCGGCGCGCGCAATTGGAATCTTTTTTCTTTTTTTCTTCACGGGCATGGATTGACGTGCTCAAAGGAGGCGGTGTAATGATTCCCATTGGAAAAGTGGGATGCCTTTCCTGTGATGGGATTGGGCGCCACGTTGAGAATGGGCGGGTTCAAAGAAAGAAAAGGCGGTCTCTCACTGGATGCAGTCTTAGAGGAGGCGTGGCTTAGAACCCAAGGCAGAGTGGAAGGGATCCTATTGGGGCGTGGCTTAGACTGGTGCGCGGATTGGGCGCCGCATTGAAGGTGGGAGGGTCCAGAGGAGAGCGCAGTTTCCAAGGGAAGAGGCGTGGCTTAGGTTGAAGGGGGCATGGGGAGGGATTGAGCCCAACATCGAAGATGGGACAAGAGAAGGGGCGTGGCTTACGCTAGCGCGCGGAGTATCCCAGCAAGAGGCCCTATTGGTGAGGTGGAAAGGCTTACGTGGGATGGGATTGGGCGCAACGTTAAGGGTGGGCGGTCCCTTAGTGGATGCGGTGTCCCTCTCCTCTCCAAGAAAAGAGGCAAGGGTTCTTATTGGGAAGGTGGGAAGGCTTTTGCGGGATGGGATTGGGCCCCGCGTTGAGGATGGGCGGGCCCAGAGGAGGTGGAGGCGGCGCCTCAGTTGATGTAGTTCCCAAGGGAAGGGGCGTGGCTTAGAGTGAAGGGGAGGTGGGAAGGGCCTGAGTGCTTCGTCGAAGATGGGCCAAAAGAAGGGGCGTGGCTTAGGTTGGTGTTCCTATTGGAGAAGCGGGAAATACCTTTTCGTGGGATAGGATTGGGCACCGCGTTGGGGATGGGCGGGCTCAGAGGAAAAGAATGCAGTCCCCAAGGGGAGAGGCGTGGCATAGGGTGAAAGGGAGGTGGGGAGGGAGTGAGCGCAACATTAAGGCCGGGCCAAGAGAAGGGGCGTGGCTTAGGCTGGCGCGCGGAGTGTCCCAGCAAGCGTTCCTATTGGAGAGGTGGGAAACGCCTTTCGTGGGATCGGATTGGTCGGTGGGCGGGCACAAAAGAACTAAGAGTCAGTGGATGCAGCGTTCCTCTCCAAGACAAGGGGCGTGGCTTAGTCCGGGCGCGCGGAGTGCATCGGTAAGCGTTCCTATTGGAGAGCTGGGAAGGCTTTCGAGGGGTGGGATTGGGCGCCGCGTTGTGGATGGGCGGGCCCAAAGGAAACTAGGAGCCCCCTCTCAGTGGGTGCAGTGTCCCCCTCTTCGCCAAGAAAAGAGGCGTGGCTTAGGCTGAGTGCCCCGGCACACGTGCCTATTGGAGAGGTGGGAAAAGGCCTTTCGTGGAATGGGATTGGGCGCCACGTTGAAGATGGGCGGGCCCAGAGGAGCAGAATGCAGTCCCCAAGGAAAGGGGCGTGGCTTAGGGTATTTATTTATTTATCGTGTCATCAGCAACCATTGTATTACAATTCTAACAGAGCAAAACAAACAAAGAGATTAAAAAGAAAAAGGAAAAAAAACCACACAGATTTTGCAAATTTGGTATTTGGTTAAATGTCCTTTGACCAGTATCTGGCCACTTGGAGTGCCTCTGGGGTTGCCGCAAGAAGGTCCTCCATCGTGCATGTGGCAGGGCTCAGGTTGCATTGCAGCAGGTGGTCAGTGGTTTGCTCTTCTCCACACTCGCATGTCGTGGATTCCACTTTGTAGCCCCATTTCTTAAGATTGGCTCTGCATCTCGTGGTGCCAGAGCGCAGTCTGTTCAGCGCCTTACAAGTCGCCCAGTCTTCTGTGTGCCCAGGGGGGAGTCTCTCATCTGGTATCACCCATGGATTGAGGTGCTGGGTTTGGGCCTGCCACTTTTGGACTCTCGCTTGCTGAGGTGTTCCAGCGAGTGTCTCTGTAGATCTAGAAAACTATTTCTAAGGTAAGTCGTTGACGTGCTGGCTGATACCCAAACAGGGGATGAGCTGGAGATGCCTCTGCCTTGGTTCTTTCACTATTGGTCTGCTACTTCCCGGCGGATGTCAGGTGGTGCAATACCGGCTAAGCAGTGTAATTTCTCCAGTGGTGTAAGGCGCAGACACCCCGTGATAATGCGGCATGTCTCATTCACATCCACTGTTTTAGCGTGGTGAGATGTGTTCCACACTGGGCATGCGTACTCAGCAGCAGAGTAGCATAGCGCAAGGGCAGATGTCTTCATTGTATCTGGTTGTGATCCCCAGGTTGTGCCAGGGTGCTTAGGGTGAAAGGGAGATGGTTGGATCAAGAGAAGGGGCGGGGCTTAGGTTGGCGCGCGGAGTGTCCCGGCAAGCGTTCCTATTGGAGAGGTGGGAAGGCTTTTTGTGAGATGGGATTGGGCGCCGCGTTGAGGATGGGCGGGCCCAAAAGGAAGAAGAGTGAATGCAGTGTCCCCCTCCTCTCCAAGAAAAGGGGCGTGGCTTCAAGGAGGCGCGCGGAGTGTTGCGGCGAGGGTTCCCTCTGGGATGGGATTGGGCGCCGCGTGGAGGAGGGGCGGGCCCGAAGCTGGAGGAGGCGGCTGCTCATTGGGCGCCCGCTCCCCTCCTCCTCCTGCCCCCTCCTCATGTCAACAACCGGGGCGCCTGCGCGTCTTTTCCCGGCTCGGTTGCGGGATGGCGGAGGACTCCCCGAAGCGCCGCAAGGCCAACTTCAACGAGGCGGAGACGGAGGTGCTGGTGGAGCAGGTGCTGCGGCACGAGCAGGTGCTCTTCGCGGCCGGGCCCGGGCGGGCCTCCCCGGGGCAGAAGCGCAAGGTCTGGGAGCTCATCCGACACAAGGTGAACCCGGTGGCCGCCTGCCCGCGGGAGGTGGAGGACCTCAAGAAGCGCTGGAGGGACCTCAAGCGCCGGGACCGGAGTAAGCTATGTCGCTCCGGGGGCTCCCACACGGGGGCCGCCGCGCTGGGGCTGCTGGTGGCCGCGGAAGAGGCCTCCCCTCCGCCCGAAAGCAGCAGCAGCAGCAGCCCGCTCCTCCTCCGGCCCTTCGCCCCCAGCGGCGCCCTGCCCATCGCCGGAGGCATCGACACCCTCGACCTGCCCGGAGGAGGGGCCTCCCAAGCAGCTGGGATCGGTGAGCTTATCCCGGAGACACACGCCGGTCCTCCAGGTGTTTTGGACTTCAGCTCCCAGAAGCCTCCGCGGCCGTCAAGGCCGCGGAGGCTTCTGGGAACTGAAGTCCAAAACACCTGGAGGACCAGAGCTGTAGTTCGCATAGAAGCCTATGGATACTGGATAGCCATGGCAATTGAATAAGAGCCAATGTCACTCAGATAGGAGTTCCAGGTGCTCCTGAAGTAGCTTCCCCTTTGGCCTTGGCTCAGCACTCAGATTACCATATTACACACATCTAATGTGCACTCTAGTTTTGGGAAGGAAAGTTAGCCCAAAAAGGTGAGCATTAGATTTGAGTAAATACGGTATTTTTAGCATCACTGTATTTATTTATTATTTCACCTATCTGTATCCCATCCTTCTCACCCCCCTAAAAGGGACTCAGGGCGGCTTCACAACAGGCAATTCAAACAAAGCCAAGAGCAATAATACAGATCACCAAGACGTGACAGTGTGAGCAAGTATAGAGATAATATTAAACAGAGAACAGACTCCCGACCTAGTGTATACTAACAATTCAAAAGAGACCCTAAGGTAGCTCTAGTGCACAAAAGCTACTTGTAAGTGGGTTGTTATAGGTTTTTTTGGGCTATATGGCCATGTTCTAGAGGCATTCTCTCCTGATGTTTCGCCTGCATCTACGGCTAGCATCCTCAGAGGTTGTGAGGTCAGAATGCGTGCCATAGATGCAGGCGAAACGTCAGGAGAGAATGTCTGTAGAACAGTGGTTCTCAACCTGTGGGTCCCCAGATGTTTTGGCCTTCAACTCCCAGAAATCCTAACAGCTGGTAAACTGGCTAGGATCTCTGGGAGCTGTAGGCCAAAGCATCTGGAGACCCACAGGTTGAGAACCACTGCTCTTGAACATGGCCATATAGCCCAAAAAACCTACAACAACCCAGTGATTCCAGCCATGAAAGCCTTCGACAATACTTGTAAGTGCTCTCCTCTTTTCCGATCTTTTGTTGTCAGTATTATTAGTCTTCTGGATACATGGGGAAAAGCGAGAACCTGGAATGCCCTTTATTTGTCTTTTTCTGTCCTTTTGTTGGTAATGTTTATTCTTTTGTTTGTGTTGACTTAGCCATGTTCTGTATCTTGAAAACGCTGGTTAAGGAGTTACGACTTTCCTTCACTCTCACTGCTCTGAGTTCCTTCGGGGAGATATGGTGGGTTATAAAGTATGTCCCTTCCAATGTTCCTTCGAATAATGGTTCACCTTCTGATCAAGTCTGCTTAGGCCTCATCTTTTGGTAGGATCTCCAGCACTTGTTTCCCAGCCCCCGGCCTTACAGTTTATGTTGCACTAGCCCTGTACTGCCCTATTCGTCTCAAATTTTATTTATTTATTTACAGTATTTCTATCCCACCTTTCTCAGCCTGAAGGCGACTCAAGGCAGCCTACAAATTGGCAGCAATTTGATGCCACCACATACATAAATACCAGCTAAAAACATTTAACATAGCATAATAAAAATCCATATAAAACCATTAAATCTGCACATGCTTACTTTTCTCGGCCATTGGTTGTTGTTTGGTTATGTTTTATGATGTTTTAGATTTTATTGGTTTTATTGTTTTAATATTGTTGGCTGTTACATGTTTTTAATTGTGTTACTTTGCAACCTTGTTTATATTGGGCTTGGTTCCCATATAAGCTGCCCCAAGTCCGGGGAGATGGAGGCGGGATATAAGAATAAAATTATTATAACTCAATGCTTAGTTTAAGATTTATCTTCACATTAGTCATCATACCATGCTCTGAATTGTAAGAAGCACTGCTTGACTATCATGCAAAAAGTGGGGGCTAGAAATAATATCATACGAAATTGCTGACTGGCACAACTTGGGGATCACAACCAGATACAGTGAAGGCATCGGCCCTCGCACTTTGATACTTTGCTACTGAGTATGCATGTCCAGTATGGAACACACTACACCATGTTAAAACAGTGTATGTGGCTTTTAATGAGACATGCCGCATTATCACAGGATGTCTATGCCCTACATCCTGGAGAAATTATACTGTTTAGCCAATATTGCACCACCTGACATCTGCCAGTAAGTAGCAGCCAATAATGAAAGGACCAAGGCAGTGACATCGTTCGGATATCAGCCAGCAAGCCAATTAAGAAATAGTTTTCTAAGATCAACAGAGATTCTTGCTGGGACACCTCAGCAAGAGTTCAAAAGTGGCAGGCTAAAACTCGGAACCTCAATCCATGGCTGATACCAAACGAGAGACTCCTTCCTGGGCACACAGTAGACTGGCGACTTGGAAGGCACTGAACAGACTGCACTCTGGCACCACAAGATGCAGAGCCAACCTTAAGAAATGGGGCCACAAAGTAGAGCGGACGACATGTGAGTGTGGAGAAGAGCAAACTGCAGACCATCTACTACAATGCAGCCTGAGCTCTGCCATGTGCACAATGGAGGACCTTCTCACAGCAACACCAGAGGCACTTCAAGTGTCCAGTTTCTGGTCAAAGGAAATTTAGTATAATGTCAAGTTTTAAACTTTGTGTTTTTAAATGCATTATAACTGTACCCTCAATTTGCTTTTGACACGATAAATGAATAAATATTTGATACGTATTTACCCACCAAATTGAAGTTGGTGAAACTTAATAAAACTGTGTAGACCAGTAAGAAATATAGGTATCTGTGATAGCCAACTGTTGACTATGTTAAAAAAGAAAACGTAATCTCTTCTCTTCCCTCCATTCCCATCATAGGTTTTGCAGATGACCCTGGCCCATCCCACCAGCCATGTGTGGAGAAGATCAACTTAAAAGAAGAGATAGTGGTAAAAGTAGTGGAGCCTGAGGAAAGCTCAGAAGACATCGCTATCGTTCCTCCCAGCCAGGAACAACTCCCTTTCCTGGGGTTACAGAATGGACGTCCTTGTGGGAAAGTAAAAGCCAAAACAAAGACTCAGCCCCAGACAGACCCCATTGAAATTACAGAAGAGGATCTGTTGAACGTTCAGCAGAACCAGCTTCACGTCATCCAGTCAGGCTTTGAGAGTATCAACCATAACCTTCGGCTTCTGCAGCAGGGCATGCAAGATCTCAACAACAGCCTTAATGTCATGGCGCACACCTTAGTAGCTATTAAGAATGTATATGTAAAAAACAATGCTGGTCCCTCCACCTTTGCGACTGTCATGACTCAGACCACTGCAGGATATCTAAGCCCCGGGTCCCCACTGGATGAGGACAGAGTTGGGCTCCCCATGGCTGGAAGTAATAGCAGAAGCAGCAGCTGCAGTTCCAGCTCCATGTCACAAGATCCAGGTCCTTCGGAATTCCCAAGATCCTCCCACAGACCTATTAAAAAGGAGCATCCAAATGGCTGTTACTATTTCTGTTTTGCAGATGTGTAAAGCCTGAATAGTAAGAGAACTACGAGGTTTGCAAGGAGCAGGTTTGTACCCAGCTCCAATGCAACATCATGATGGAGCAGCTGGGCCTAGCTGTCCACTGATAAATGCTCAGTATGTCAGATCTCTACCATCCTCCAGCTGCAGAAACCTTAGCATCATAGGAGGCGTAACACTAATGACAAACTCACTCTAGAACCAATTTTGGTGAAAAACAGTGTAGAAATACCATCAGTGGATAAATGCAGGTTTTAGAACTATTTAGAAAACAGTCTTGCTGCATTCAGCAAGATTTGCTCATAAGCAAAAGTGCACTGAATTACAACATTGGTAGTTTATTCAACAGCTTCTGGAGTTAGTTATGCCTCTTATATAGTGTTGCCCTGACACTCTTTCACTGTGGAGGTGGAGAGCAAAAAACTTGATTCATCTGATCTTCCTGGTATTGATTTGCATTTTGAAGCAAAGCAGTATGAAAAAATAGCAGAAATTGTACTTATTACTTGGTGCGCAATCAGTCACACAAGCTGTTTTATTTTTGTAGCAATCCAAACTGAAGATTAGGAAGAATTGAGTACTTGATTGTACTTTGCTTTTTAAAAAGAAAGAAAAAAAGCTGTCTATTGCAACTTCTGTACTAGAGTGTGAGCCCATCTCCTTGAGGACTGGGAATGAATCCAGGTACTGAGCCACAAGCAAAGTGCTTGTAAGTTTTCCTAAACAACTCCTGTTTGTTGTTGCTCGTGTATAGTTCTTAGAAGTACCTATTCCCTGTAAAAGTGCTCTGTTCGAAACTTGCGGGAGTTGGGAGGCTGCCTTTTATTGCATAATTAAAGAAGACCCCCCCCCCCCTGCAAAATGGTGGCAAGTGTCTGTGTTCTAGAAAATAATCTCTTGCATGAACAATCTTACTACAAGGATATGTCTGATTTGTACATTTCTGAAAACACTGGATTTCTGGCTTCAATGTATACTGAATTTTGACTTGGCGTGATCACTCCAGGTGATTTTGACTGCAGCCATTAAAGAGACAGTGCAGAGTTAGGGTTGGATGGGGTGGGTTTGGCGGATCTCTTCCAGTATGAAACTGAACTGGGTGATCTTGGCTCAGTTATTGTCTTCCAGCCTGGTCTACCTCACACATTGATTTGTAATAGGAAGAACCATGAATGCTGACACAAACGCTTTGGAAGAAGAGTGGGGAAATAAAGGAAATAAACCATAAAATATCCCTGACTAGTGGCTATACTAGCTGTTGCAGATGATAGATCAAAACATATGGAGGAATTTATGTTAAGGCAGGCTTGACAGCTGAATAAGCAACAGATTAAGCAATACTGTCATATGGAGATCATTGAATGGTAAAAGTGTGAGGCAAGAAACATCTAGGCAGTGTCTTTCAACCTGTGGGTCCCCAGATGGCCTCAACTCCCAGAAATCCTAGCAGCTGGTAAACTGGCTCGGATTTCTGGGAGTTGTAGGCCAACACCTGGGGCTCCACAGGCTGAGAAACACTGATCTAGGGCTTGTTTCTGGTGGCTGAAGGCAGCATGTTTTGTTAATACTGTCATATGGAGATCATTGAATGCCCACAATACACAATACCATTATAGATAAGTTGTTAAAACACCAGTAACAATCCCTGGGAGTATTATACTTGACCACCATGTGGTCTTAAAGTGCTCTGCTAGGTATTTTTCAACAAACAGCAAAAAGTTCAAGTGTTTCTAAGCTCTAAAGGACTGCCCATGGTTCTTTAGAAGTAATAGTAACAGGGAGAAAATTTAGATAAAAGCAAGAAAGTGTTCTGATATCAAAGAAAGCAAACTGAAAAAAAGCCCCTCTGCCATGAAAACTGAATCTTACCTTCTACTTGAAGTTCTCCAAACAGGCCATTCTCTTCCACCATCAAATAGTTGAAATCCTTAGATTCTAAACTTAATTTAAAAAACATAAAACTACCTAAATGTTGAAGTCATGGCATATTACATGATCAGCAGAATTTGGCATTGTAAAAGAAATATACTTGGCTCTCAGTTCTGTTTTTGTATTTCTTTTCAGTGCTGATTGTTTTTACTTTTCTAAAATGTGAAAGAGCTCAATTTGTGAGTTCTGGGTGACGTCTAAAAGGAATCGATGTATACATAAAAGGTTTGCCAGCCAGTGTTTCACTTCTTAGTAAAATAATAAATTAGATGTCAGTTCTTGTGGGTTTTTTCGGGCTATATGGCCATGTTCTAGAGGCATTTCTCCTGACGTTTCGCCTGCATCTATGGCAAGCATCCTCAGAGGTGAGGTGAATATGACCTCACCTCTGAGGATGCTTGCCATAGATGCAGGTGAAACGTCAGGAGAAATGCCTCTAGAACATGGCCATATAGCCCGAAAAAACCCCCCACAAGAACTGAGTGATTCCAGCCATGAAAGCCTTCGACAATACATTAGATGTCCTTTGGATCCCTTCAGACCTGATAGGAGTCTTGTTCTTCACAGTCATTGCTGACAGCAAGTCTTACCTTGCACACAAAGTAAACCCATATAGCAATGGATCCCAATATAATTTAGACAATTACTTTCAGTCCCATCTGGTTCCACTACATATTATGAAGTACTGTTTTATTGTCAATTACCTTAAGTATGTTTTGGTGTCAAAAGACAGGGTGGAGATTACTGGAATAAAGAGCAGCAAAACATCCACCACAAATTATGCCTTGTTAAGACTAACTTTGGTGCTTGATGTAGTTTCATAAATATGGACAGTGGTTCTACATTTAATTACTGGTGAAATTTTGTTTGCACAAATGCAAGAGTGACTGCCTTGGAATGGCATGGATATTGATGCACAACTTTTACACTGTGCCTTTACATTCAAATCCCAAATCTTTCAAAATGATACTTCAAATTGTATATAGTTGGTCTTGAACAAAGTGAGCAAAGCGGAACTGGGAGCTTCATATGGGACCTTGAGAGGGGAGGCAGAGTGATGTGACATGAATAGAATGTCTGAATATGTATAATGAAGGGACTGCAGCAATACTCTGCAACATTTGTGATATTTTTGTTGTTTTGCCTGAGAATATTGAAAGCTTGGCCATTTTCCCTGCTAGAACAGAAAAAGCAACAGCTTGGAGACCAACTTATCTTCACTGAAAATTATCTGGGAGAATAAAAGCTTTTTTGAACAAAATAGAGCCAACTCTCTGGAAGGCCAATATGCCACGTAGAGGAAGCATACACTTGGAAGAATGTGACACCAGAAATACAGCTACTAAGAAATCATGCTGTGAACTTTAGACTTATACAACTGATTCTGAGCTCCTTCTTTAATAGTTATGAGACACAGAACAGGAAAAAACACTTATCAGTCTTCAGAGACCATGGCAGGTCTATGGCTGGAAGGGCTCCTTCCTGGCAGTTCCTAGAAACAAACACGTGGTGGTGGCATTAGGTGATTCTCTACTGATAATAATAGCAGTGGCATGTGGACTTGGTATGCAATGTTGTGAAGTGTCATAATAGCTGAAAAGACCCATTAAATCCACCAATAATTACAAATGCCTTTTAATTTATGGAAGGGAAGAGAGTGATACTGCAAGATACATCTTTCATTATATTGCAAGACACTATAAGGTTCCCTGGGGATAGTTCATTATTTAGGCATGCCTTCCTTTTGTAGAGTATGTTCCAAGAAGAGACAGCAGAATACTAGAAGTAAACAATGGCTCTCTAGATAATGCTGTTGGAAAGATTTACATGTGCTTTCAATGAAGACAGACTTCTTGCAAGTGATAGGTTGCCCCTCACAGTAGCCGGTAAGAACATTTTCTAAGAGAGTCTCATGCCTCATAAGGAAGGCTTTAAACTGGATTATGCAATTCAGGAAGACACCAAATACTTCAGAATACCTTTAATTATACTGGGGAATCCATCAATTGTCAGAAACGAACAATAAGCAGCTGGACAGTGAAGTCTTAGATGTCTGTATCTATGCAAAGAGCATGTTATATAAACAAGATGAAGTAATATTCTTAACACAGAAAAGCAAATATTTTGTAGACCTCACTGAAGCCTGCTGGAATGAGTCTAATGATTAGAATGCAGTAATAGAGAGGTATAACCTATTCCAAATAAAAGAAGTAGCATATGTCAAGAATATTTATACTTGTGAAGAGATCCATAACTTAAAAGCATGGAAACAGGTTTGGGAGCCTTTGTGTGAAACTTAGAGGCTGGGAAATAATAATGGCATCATTGGGGGATGCCTACTATACACCTCCAAAGCAGACTGAATGTTTGGAAAATGCCTTTCTAGAATAGATTACCAAAAATGAAAGATATTGTAATGGGAGACTTCTGTTATCCTGATAGTTGCTGAAGCCAAACTCAGCCAGGATTGTAAGGTTCAAGTTTCTCAAAAGGGAGCTACAGAAGGCACCACTACTTGAATTAGATGTTGCCTGAAAAATTGTGCCCACTACATTTCAAGACATTGACAATAAGTCTAGAAGAGGACTACCTGTCAAAAGGCTAACCACCAAGCCCCACAAGGAATAACAGAGGTAACAGGGAATGTTTACCTTGAAAAGAAGAATGAAATATGATATAACAATAACAATCTGAAGAGATGACATACAGGAGGTGAAGTTTTCCCCTGCTCTAAATTCTAGAACATAAACCAATGGATTCAAACGGTGACAGGAGATTCTACCTAAATATTAGGAAGAACTTCAAGTGCTAAGAGCTTTTTGACAATGGAATAGATTACCTCAGAAGGTGGTGTGCCCACTTCCTCTGGAGATCTTGAGCTTGGGTGGCCATCTCTCACTAGTTCCTTAGCTGTCTTTTATTGCATGGCAGGAGGTTGGAGTAGATAATCCTTAGGATTCCTTCAACCCCTATGATCCCCTGCAAAATACTCTGCTTGGATTCTTGGCATTGTGAGAAAACACCCCCAGTACCATTAGAAACTGATGCACCACTGTCAACAATGAGTAGCCTTTAGTGCAACTCATGCAGCACTTTAGACATAGTTGAATAAAATAATTTACCAAAATGGCTGATATAAACAATTGCGTATGGTTCAAAGCAGTCTGGAATACCTGAAAAGCAAATGGTTTGACATGCCTCATTATTAAACGTCTATATCAATATTTGAGTTAATGTTGCATAGTATTTATTTATTTATTTATTTATTTATTTGCAGTTCTTATATTTCGCCCTTCTCACCCCGCAGGGGACTCAGGGCGGATTACAGTAAACACATATATGGCAAACATTCAATGCCAGTTTGACAAACAACATTTAACAGACAAAGGCTTGAGTGTTGGTCTATAACTATGGAAACCTGGCTTTGAATCTCCATTTGGCCATAGAAACTAATTGGGACAGGCACACTAACTGATTCTTGTTCTCTGGACTCTTCAGCAATGTTTAAATAGCACCACAACAATTCCTACTGATAAGAAACTTTAATTCAGTTCCAATATAACAATATCTGGTTAAATATAATAGCAACGAATAAAACACGCAAAAACAAAATTCCACCTTTATTCACCACTGTAAAAAAGTTTATTAAAATGCTATAATAATTGTTTCGAAACTGATCATTGGTAGATCAGCACCAAACTTCCATTTTTCAGGAAACAGATTCGATTGCTTTCCATGGTCTACACTTAGTTACAGTATTTCCAAAACTATTTTTGGTAAAGTTCTATATAGAATAAACTGACAAATCTAGTCAAAGTTATTGTTGCATGCTGAATGAGTTTTATTTAGAACCAGTTTATAAAAATAAAATACAAAATAATTTCAAAAACAGAACTTAAAACATTTACAAAGCTTTGATATGATACAAATGGGACAAAATAAATAACTACATCTTTATGTACACATGACCATTACAAAGACACTATGTCAATACTTTCTATTCTCAAATGACTTAGCAAAATTATAAATAGAAATCTAATTTTAATTTTGGGAACATTAAGAAGAAAAGAAAAGGACTGGAGTCTATGACTTTACTAACGTACCACTCTAGAATAACTTTCTGCCTAAATTCAACATCAGAAGTTTTATTTTTGAGAGGCTAAATGTTTTCTGGAATAAATAATGGGGTTTTTTTCTATCTGTTGAAATGTGCTACAATAATATAATACTTCAATTAGTTACAGCTTGCTGCTTTACTACTTATTCTGAACTTCAAAGCTTTTATTTCCTTCACCTTATTT